AAATGGCCACATCACATTTGCACTACACTCTAGATATTAGCCATAATCTAATTTTTTATTTCAGAAAAAAAAATCACATAATTCCTTTTCTAGACCCCTTTCAGGCTGTTGTAGATACTCAGTGACTCAGTGACAGACTGAAAATCTGAAACCGAAATCTGCGCAATTAGTGTTATACTTTTGAATTGGAGTCAAGGGGCACCTGGGTGGCTCAGTCAGTTAAGCATCCGACTTCAGCTCAGGTCATGATCTCACAGTTTGTGAGTCCGAGCCCTGCTTTGGGCTCTCTGCTGTCAGCACAGAACCTGCTTGGGATCCTCTGTCCCCCCTTCTCTCTGCCCCTCCCCTGCTAGTTCTCTCTCTCTAAATAAATAAATAAACTTAAAAAAAAAATGAATTGGAGTCAAAATCAAGTTCAGAGCTGGCACGTGTAGCAGGTAAAAAGAGGCCGGCACTGCTTTGGCGTTACCCTCTGTGGGCCTGTGTCTGCAACCCCAAATCCCTGTATTTATTTGTCAAGGTGCTGCACTTTAATAATAAATCAATGGAAAAACAAAGGCCCTGAGCTCCTTCTGGAACAAAATGCTACAGGTACAGTAGTAAAAAGTCCTGCCAGCCCCAGATGAGATGTGACTTTCTGAGGAAAGTGGATAATTTTTACTTGATGGTGAATCGTTAAAAGTGAGCCAGATGATTAAACTTAATGGAACAGCCACATTAAACTGAAATTAGTAAAAACATGCCTCGGGCAGCCTACAACCTTTTATTTGTTGTTGTTTAACTTCTGCCTTTTACAGTGGCCATGATGAATGACATCACAAAAGAAAAAATCCAATTAAAATCTAAGTGCTCAATAAACCCCTAATGTCTGGTTGCCACCATCACTTTCACTAGCACTGATGTCTCATGTTTCCTCTTTTCCCCAAGAAGAGAGAAAAGAACTGGCCCCCGGGGGAGGTGCGTGGAAGGAGGGGCAAGCGGGGAAAGAGCACACAAAGGCTTCCGGAGGTTTCTGCTCCGTGTACTGTATCAGACACAGGCACTGCACCTCGAGGGGGATGAGGCTAAATTGTTTTATTATCAGACAAGGCCTGAGTAAAGAGATGCATTTTCCCACCAGTTTTCAAATGTTGATAAATCAGAATGGGGATCTGCAGAGCAATCCTGTTCATACTCTTCGTTGGCGTCTCTGCTGCCCTTTTATATCGTCTCGGGTGTTTGTTCCATAAGTCATCGGAATGGTCTCTCCTGACAGCTAAAAATAAGTTTCTGATTACTTTTACCTGAATAAATCTTGTGACCAGATGTGGTCTTCACCTACTAAGTGTGCAACAATTACATATCGAGAGTGATGAAAGAACCAGCCGAGGGGCGTCTACAATCTAGTGGGATGCAGAATACAATGTATCACATGGGAAGACAGCGACTGCCACCGGTAGAAGAATACTAGCTTTGGATGACAGATTTTACCTTAGAGATACTATGGGTTTATAAAATTGGGTTTTCAAAGTCCTCACAACAAAGTTCTCAAAGTCAAAATAAGAGCCAAAACATGCTTATTTTGAATGAGGAGCTAATAGGAACGGTATCTTAAAATGTGCTCTTACTCCATGTTCGCATAGGAATTAACGTAGTATTTGTACGTAGTCTCTAATCAGATCTTCATGATAGCCTGGTCCTGTGGTTCTATTATCCTCATTTTATTGATAAGGATCTTGGCTCAGCGAGGTTAATTGACGCTGCCATGATCTTACACTTGGTGAACGAGAGAGAATGAGCACAACTCCTACTGGGAACTCTGGTGCGGTGCCCGCTCCCCGCCCCCTCACCCAGTGCCGGGTTTGCTAACCATGGCTGCCCAGAAGCCAGATCCAATGGGCGGTGATGTTGGTTTCATTACTCATGAGTTAATGAAATAGCCTTTTAAAAGCTCTCTTCAGTCATTAGGATTTGACAATGGAGAGTTAAACTTTCCCCAGTGGCTCTTTCTGTGTAATCACGGTTTCAGCGTTTCCTTAGCATATCACATTACACAAATCATGGAGTCCTCTTTTGTTTTACATTTCTTATTGCGTTTGTCTCACTTCTAAGCAATGTCCTCCCCGTTCCCATTCATCTTCCATTATTTCTGCCAAATTGCTTTCAAGGCTACTAATTGTATGAATAATATTCTCTTCCTCAAACTCTGCTGTTAACTAGCATTAGCTGTGTGGCTTTGGACACAGTTTCCCTATCTCTAAAAACAAGGAGGTTGCACTGAATAACCTGTAGGGCCTCTTCTTGTGCTCAAGTTCTAATCTTCTGACTCTTTCACACAAGGTGTATGATTTTGGAAACACTACATAAACCGGAGTGTTAATTTTCTTGATTCTGCTATGATGGATTCAATTAGTTCATGCTTCCCAGAGTGTGTCTCTTAGAAAATTGTTCTCGGGAATGCCAACACCCACAAAGGATTCTTTGCGCAAGAACGTTCGGGAAAGCTAGTTGGTTTTTTGTGTTTTTTTTTTAAGTGATTATTTATTTATTTTGAAAGAGACATAGAAAGTCAGCAGAGGGGGCGCCTGGGTGGCGCAGTCGGTTAAGCCTCCGACTTCAGCCAGGTCACGATCTCGCGGTCCGGGAGTTCGAGCCCCGCGTCAGGCTCTGGGCTGATGGCTCAGAGCCTGGAGCCTGTTTCCGATTCTGTGTCTCCCTCTCTCTCTGCCCCTCCCCCGTTCATGCTCTGTCTCTCTCTGTCGCAAAAATAAATAAACGTTGGGAAAAAAATTAAAAAAAAAAAAAAAAAAGAAAGTCAGCAGAGGAGGGGCAGAGAGAGAAGGGAGACAGACTCTGATGCAGGTTCAAGCCCACGAACCATGAGATCATGACCTAAGCCGAAATCAAAAGTCAGATGCTCACCTGACTGAGCCACCCAGGAGCCCCCGGGAAAGCTAGATTAAATACAGTCAAGTACAGTTTTAAACTGAAGGCAGTGACAGTCTTTAATATGTTAATGTACACTGGGTGACTCCTAAGAAAAAGGCAGAAAAACGAAGTAATCCCCAAACATATGGGGCCACAGAACCCCTTCTCAGCATTTTAGATAATTGATATTCCATGGGATATCATTTTTTAGAAAGGCTGGGTTCGCTTATTTTAAAAGTCCCTTTTGCCTTGAGAGTTTGTTTTCAAATGTGGTTATAGACACTATTCTGAGCATTTCATATAGTATTCATCAACAGGACACAGAGTTGGCTTACCTGTTGCTGTTGTTGCCATAACTGTTGTAACATAGCCTATACTATGTTTAGACAGAGTTGAAATAAGGTAGAGCTTAGCTACCTTACCAATAAACTATCTTGTCTGTATGCAGCTAATACTTATAACTGGTCTTTTCAAATCTCCTCAATTTTAATTTTTGAAAATTTGTGAATAGAGTTAGCTTATCTGAAGACCTAGGAAAAATACCTTCTAAACTTTTACTAAGGTGGAAAAAAGGGACCCAAAGACACAACAGAAACTCAAAGCTCTGGAAATCTTCTCTGGGATAGGCAACACAGGCGAGTTCTCCAAGTTAGAATGATTATCTTTCACTTCAATGGTATATTAGCACTCATTTAATTCAACCTTTAACCTGACCCATTTCACTGACAGTTAATCTTTTTTTAATGTTTATTTATTTATTTTGAGAGAGACAGAGAGAGTGTGAGTGGGGGAGGGGCAGAGAGTGAGGGAGAGAGAATCCCAAGCAGGCTCCTCACTGCCAGGGCAGAGTCCGATGTGGGGCTCAGTCTCACAAGCCATGAGATCATGACCTGAACTGAAATCAGGAGTCAGATGCTTAATCGACTGAGCCACCCAGGTGCCCCTCACTGATGGTTTAATCTTATCAGAGCCTCCGCCTGATTACCTTCAGGAGAAGGGAACCCACTATTTTATAAAGCAGATTATTCCATTTTAGTCTGGCTCCACTTTTTAGAAGATCCTCTCCTATATTAAATGAAAATCTGAGTATTAAATGTTCTTGTTCTAAGTGCCCTTGTAAATTATCTAGTAAAGGGATTTTCAAGGCATTGTTCATGGCAACGCTTAAGATGTTTCTCAAATGCTTTGAGTTGAATTTCATAAGTAATTAAATAAATATCACATCTTCCCAAAAAAGTGATTATAAACTCCATCATAAGAAACTCAATGAGATTGAGTAGCTTCCCTAAATTCACCAAGATAGCAAAGTATAGAGTCAGAATGTACCCCGGTCTCTCTGTTTCAAAAACCAAAATCCTTAGGGCTCCTGGGTGGCTCAGTGGATTAAGCGTCCAACTCTTGCTTTCAGCTCAGGTCATGATCTCACAGTTCAAGAGACTGAGGCCCAAGCTGGGCTGTGCGCTGACAGTGGGGAGCCTGTTCGGAATTCTCTCTCTCCTTCTCTCTCTGCTCCTCCCGGACTCACACTTTCTCTGTCGCTCTCAAAATAAATAAACTTAAAAAAAAAAAGATTCTCTCTCTCTCTCCCTCCCCCTCTGCCCCTCTCCCCTGAGCACATGCTCTTTCTCTCTCTAAAAAAAAACAAAAACAAAACAAAAACAAAATTATTTTCTCCATAGCATGTCACTTCTCTAGTATGTCCAGATACATAAAAGTGAACAGTAGAGTGTATTTGTAGAATCTGAATGCTATGGTGAAAATAGGAAAGTAGTGAAAAGAGTTTCATTCCAACCAGGTTAATACGTCCTTAGGCATTTTGCTATTACTCTGGACTTCAGTGTTCCCTTCTTCAAAACAAGGATTACTACATTTTCTACAAGCTCTGTTCCAGTTCTAGAAATTTCTATGATTATAAGGAAACATATTCATTAATGAATGACATTACTATTGAGGATTTAAGTAAACAATAAGAAAAAAAAAAAAACCCTCAAACCTGCCTCCCTCAGAAAGGAATGAATAAAAGTTAACAAGACAAACAGTTTAGAATCACATGCTTGACTTTTACTTTCTTTAATTTTTTTTTTCTACACTAGTTACATTCAGACCAGGATAGAGGAGATGGATCACTTAAATATATCCTTTCAGGAGATGGAGCAGGAGATCTCTTCATTATCAATGAAAACACAGGAGACATACAGGCCACCAAGAGGCTGGACAGGGAAGAAAAACCTGTTTACATCCTTCGAGCTCAAGCTATAAACAGAAGGACAGGGAGACCCGTGGAGCCCGAATCTGAATTCATCATCAAGATCCATGACATCAACGACAATGAACCAATATTTACCAAGGATGTTTACACGGCCACTGTTCCCGAAATGTCTGATGTTGGTGAGTGAGATGTGATTTCAACCACATGATGTCTCTCCTCTATTACGTCAACTGAATAAAGAATCCTAGGAGTGAAATTTACTGAGGTGAATGAATGTAGATGCTAAATTCTAAAACTATCATATTTCAAACAATCCCTTTATGACAAGTACACCTGTTTCCGAATATTACTCTAGTCTCATTTTATTATAAGAAAACAGCATTTCCTCTAATGATGAAGGGATGAAAAAATGTCAGGCAAGAACAGGAGGAAGAAAGAGATATCATCTCATCTACTTCCTGCCTCCCCAGGTGCCCACCCTGGTCCTCAGGCTGAGAGACAGCAGCCCTCTCCACCTCTCTTAGCACATATTGGTACTTGGCTTGAGGTTAGGATCTCTCCAGTGTGAAACAAAAGCCTGAGTTTACATTCCAGACTGGAGAGTAATGACAGTTGCTTTAAGTAAATATGTGTTTGGGAAAGAGACTCAAAGAAAACTTAAAAAAAAAATCCATAATTATGCAGGGGTTGTTTAGGGGATGTATCCTTTACTAAGTGATGGAAATTAAGAGATTTTCATGACATTAATATGATGAATTAATATTTTGTGCACAATTCTACTACCAATTTTAAAGTTAATATGTATGCTTCTAATTTGCTTAAATTGGGAGGTCAACACAATTTAAATTTTAAAAAATCCTACTGACATCACTCTTAGCCGTATTAAAATACTTAATGGGAAACAGTGACAAATTTTAAGCTACCTGAATAAAGGGTTATTTTTATTTTCATTCGGTGTCAAATTCAAAAGGGCTAAATTACTTAATAATAACTCTTCTATAATTCTATGAGTCAGATATCAGAGGCATTTTAGGTCACAGTTCCAAGACTTAGAAAAATCTAATCCATGGAAATGATTGTAAACCATCTAAATCTTTCTCATCAAGAAGCTGCTCGTCTCATTACTTAAAACCACTTTGTTTCATCAGAAAAATCACAAACCATCAGCCAAGCAAAAGAGAGGGATTAAAACTCTTTTAAGAGGAAGATTTGTTAGGAAAAAATATTTTTCCTCTATGTGGTAAAAGTAAGGAACAATTAATAAGCAATAGTCTCAACATCAGCACCACCCAGCAAAACAGTTTCCAGAAAACAAAATTTGATGTGCAAGGTGTCACCCCCACAACTATAGAGGGTGCCATTCACTTTTGAACTATGTTAGAATTAAGTATGTATTATAAATATCTGGGGGCAGCTGGACGTAACATGTCTCAAGAAAGGGAAGGCTCTTTCTAATTTGCACACAGGTACAGTTATGTTCATATTAACCATTATCATAAGTGAACACGTCATTATTATCATACAAAAAGGCATCTTAATCCTACATTACAAAGTGGGATAGCAGCATGGTGGTATAAATGGGCTTTGGGTGTCAAACAGACCTGAATTTGAAACTCTACTAATAAGCAGCATCTTGATGTCTCTGATCCTTCAGTTTCATATCTACAAAAAATAAATAATAACTGTCAACAGCTAAGGATTACCATGAGGATGAAATAAGAAAACAAGGACAGAGCCCCCAGTACAATATCTGACAACTAACAGGTGCTGAAAACATCTAGATAATCATATTATAAAAGCATTCAAATTTTATATTGATGTCAAGTAAGAATGTGGGTGCTAGTTAACTACTATTAGCTCTTGCTCTGAGGTCATATAGTGCTTTGTCCCCATCTTCCTTCCCAAATTACAAGGATGGGTGTTCGATCTCATGCACCAACATGTTACATCCAGAGCATCCACCACAGTACAATATATTTGTTCAACAAACGGGATTGGTTAGATATTACAAAAGCAATGTAAAACTTCTAATATTCCCTGAACGTAACTTCCCTGTCCTTCCCATGGACAGGAGAACTCCAACAGTATGCTTACTGTTTATCTGATATGAATATCAAAAGTCAGCCATAAGATGATCTTCATCAGAGTAAGGTCTTACCCTTTTTTGGAAGTCACAGATCTCTTTGAGAATCCAATAAAATCTATGGATCTTCTCTTCAGTGAAATAAACATGTAAGCATACACATAAAAATCTGTGTGGAATTTCACGGGGGTCAGGAATATTTTGAAGGTTATTCGGTGACTGCAGTCCTTAAAACAAGAATGCTGATCTAAAACATCATTGCCTTCTCTGTGCATGTAATTATAATAATTTTTTTGGAGTTACAGTTTCCAGATGTGAATTTTCTAGTATTCTAATAATTCTTTAATCCAACACTACCTCTTTTAAGTTTCAAGATCTTTCAAACTCTTAGAATTATCAGATAGATTTATCATTTAGGATGCTTTTATTGAACAGAAAACCCAACTCAAACTAGTTTAAACAAATAAAAGTATTTAGTGACTTAAGTCATACTTAGGTCAAAAATAAAATGGGTTTTTGAGATGGTTTGATTTGGGTTCAATTATTTCTCTGAAATTTTCTGTCATATTCAGCGTTGTCCTCAGGCTGGCATCTCTGAGGTCACAAAATAGCTGCTGCATTGACAGGCCCTACATCAGCACATTACAGTCCAGGAGAAAGAGCACTCATGACACAGAATTCCCAAGAAAATCTCAAGTGGCCTCATGATTGGACAACCCCGAAACTAATCACTGTAGATAAAGCAATGCAAGATGCTGATTGACTTAGGTCTGGATAACTTCAAAGAATGACTATAGCAAGAGTCCAATCAAATCTCATCTTTGGACATTAGTTGAAATTGGTTCCACCCAAGGTCATGGTTATCCCATGCTTCTCTTTAACCTAACCCTTACAACATTTATAAATGTTGATCACACTCTTTCAGAATGAGAAGCCAAAGGCTTTTAAAGAAATTTTTAATGTTTATTTATATTGGAGAGAGAGAGAAAGAAACTGAGTGCAAGCAGAAGAGGGGCAGAGAGAGAGGGAGACAGAACCTGAAGCAGACTCCAAGCTGTCAGCACAGAGCCTGATGTGGGGATTTGAACTCACCAGCGGTGAGATCCTGACCTGAACCAGTCGGACGCCTAACCCACTGAACCACCCAGGCATCCCGATAAATCCAAGGCTTTTTAACCCTAGTATCATCCTGAAATTCTCAACTCCTTTGTCAAGATACTTCTGTACAGAAGTAAGATCACGCTTTCTCTATCTGTGTGTGCATCAAGGATCTACATGGGTCCTTGATTTATTTTCAATTCATGTTTCTGTCATTACAGGCACATTTGTTGTCCAAGTCACCGCAACTGATGCTGATGATCCAACTTATGGCAACAGTGCTAAAGTTGTGTATAGTATCCTACAGGGGCAGCCCTATTTTTCAGTTGAATCAGAAACAGGTTAGAATTTCTTTTTGATCTTCTTTTTACAATCCATAATTTTAATTGATTTAATAAAAACAATTTATTAAAAAAAATCAGTGTAATTGAATATTCTTAGATTCATCTGCCAAATTTCACCAGCAATATATTTGTAAACATGATATCCAGATCATTTTAATTCAGAAATCTGACAATGGATGTTTCATCCATTTTACTTATACAGGGTAAATTCAGAAAACTTATACAATGTCAGTTTTTTCTTCCAGTTTGGAGTGAACCTAAAACGAATACCTCCTGATAGCCATTAGGGCTATTTACAAATATTCCAATTCTTCTTTTACTAGTTATTTGGCATCTCTCTACCCTGCTCTAAAGGTAGATATAGCCATGAGACTTGTTTGGGCCGGTATATGTGGCAATGATTCAAGTCACTTCCACGCCGAACTTTTGGACCTGGTGCACAATCCACATTCCTTTCCTCCTGCCACAGTGATATGGATGGAAACAAATGTTGGCCTTGGTCTCCAGCCTGGATGTCTGTTACTATCAGCAGAGCTTCTTGCTGGCCTCCTCAGAGCATGAGCAAAAACTTAACGTTAGCTGTGTTAAGCCAGTAAGATTTTATTATGACATTGTCTAGCTCGTGCTGATAGCATCCTAATAAACAAAGTGGATTCCTTAATGGAATGCTTTTTTTAACACCTCATCTTTCTGCATTTTATCCACAAAGTAGCATACTATCTTCTGATGAATTGTTTCTTAGGAAATCTTGTCTGTGCTGTACGGTAAATTCTACACATATTTTTGCTATCATAATAGGAGTTGAATTCCTTTTCTACATTTCCCAAGCATCCATTATTGTTAGTAGAAATCAAAACTTTTCTAGGTTACCACATCCAGTTGGAAATTTATGTGTTAAGAGGTGCAACGAACTTGGAAAGAATCCCAAGGAGAAAGAAAATGTTGAGTTGAAAAACAATGAGGGTGAAAAATTAGAAATATTCAACGTAAAGGACAAAGGCTAAGGTGATCTCCTCTATTTAAATAGAGAAGTCCTATTATTGGAGAACAGACACAGCTGCACTTTCACTGAAGCCAGGACTATAGGAATAAAACTGACCTGTTGTCTGAGGTGTTCGTGTTAAAAATAAAAGAAAAAAAAAGATATTTTCAGCTTCATTAGTTGTTAAGCACTGGAATGTGCTACGAGAGAAGGCTATAAAGCCTTTAAAGCCTTGAAAGCCTTTAAAGCCTATAAAGATTTTTGAAAGAATGTTGTTAATTTAAGCATAAAGCCTACACAGAGATTAGGCAAACTTTTAGAAGTTCTTTCAACTACTTATTTTATAACTACTGAACAACAGAGATAAAATTAACCTAACATAAGAATGAATGTTGGTCGCTGCTGGGACCAGTTGAACTAATGCTCACATCAGCTTTAGGAAAACTTAAGTTCTCTAGGATCATACAGGATGATAATTATGGGAGAAATGAGCTGTGTTTTCTTCAGACCATAGTTTGTGACTTAGAAAATCCTCTGAACGTTCATTACGGGAGGTATATTTGATGAGCAATTAGCTGATTCAGTAAAGTAAAGCTCAAGAGTCAGTTCAAGGAAATGACTTCCTTAGCAATTTCCTCATAGTACACTTAAATGTCTTTTATCAAGCAGCTATGGTAGTATAACACTGTACCACATGCCAAGTTATATTTTGCTACGTTATCTTATAACACATGATATTTATACTACCTACAATCTATACTATTACAGATTTGACTTGTACTTATTCTTGAATCATAGGTGTTTTTAAAATATATCTATCTCCCCTATGTGGTTATAATTTCCTTCAGTATAAAGGCTATCTATAATCATCTTTATGTCACCTATTACATCCGTATAGTGTTTGAGTATTGTGGATGACATCTACGTTTGCATAAATAAATGATTTGATAAAGTATTTTTAATACATCCCTTTCCATTTCTGAATTTCGCATCCATAGGTATCATCAAGACAGCTTTGCTCAACATGGATCGAGAAAACAGAGAGCAGTACCAAGTGGTGATTCAAGCCAAGGATATGGGTGGCCAGATGGGGGGATTATCTGGGACCACCACGGTGAACATCACGCTAACTGATGTCAACGACAACCCTCCCCGGTTTCCCCAGAGTAGGAACATTTGATTGAATGAATTTCTTCAGTGCACTTTTATAAAACTCTAACTTTAAGAATGATATTTATTTTCCATTGTTATTAATTATCAATATTAATGAACTTAGGAATAACCATACTTTTAGTAGTTGAATGATTTATAATATGGTGATAGTTGTAAAGGTAACACCATTGTTTTATTTTTCCTTATTAAAAAGACTACCACAGACATAAATTTGCTTGTGCAGAACATATGTATACAAGAATGCTCCTATTTGTAAGAAAAAAAAATTGACTTTATGTTTTGTGAATTTAATCAGTCACTTAATCTCTTTTAAATCCCCACAAAGCTTTATAAGGGAGGATTTATCATTTAACTGTTTCTAAAAATACAACTGGGGAAATAACCATGTACTTAATCCATTTGTAATCATAAATAGTTTTCTATATTATGGTTAATTGAGATACCAAAAAAATCATCACTATAATCATTAACTCCCATGGCTAGATAGGAAAAAAAGAAGGAAAAACAACATTCTTAAATGCCTGCTTTGTATCAAGCAATATACTAGAGCCCTTCATACAAAGCTCTTGAAAGAGGGTACTGGTTTTAATGTAATTTTTCTTCCAAGAACAAAATTCTTTTCTGACCATGATCTAAGAAAACTACCTAAATCCTGTCTTCCAGGAGAAAATAGCTGCCCACCATTAAAAAGAAAGCCCACCTTACCCAATCATGGCATATTTTTCCCAATGCTGGTCACCTCACATGGGCTTCTTTTATAATAGAGATACACATGGATCAACCAGAACTGTTACATTTTCTTTAATTTTTTTCAAGTATTTACTCATAGCTAAATGCAAAAAAACAAAAAAAACAAAAAAACAAAAACCTAATTTCTGATGTAACGGGTAGAAGATAGGTTTTACTGGCCCTAAATTTTTTTCCCACAGACGCCTGAAATGACAATATCAGAATTAGCAATACTTCGCCCCAAAACCTCCTTTTCAATATGGGAATTCCCTGGGGAAGGATAACAAAAGGATTCATCAGCACTTAAATACCACAGGGACCCTACCTCACTTTGCTCTCTCCGTGGATAGCTTGGGATCATTACTGAATACTATACCAAAGCACAGGAGAGAAGAATAACTCTAGAGGAAAAACTTGGCTTGTTTATCATTTTGCCAAGGATGAGCCCAACACTTAATGGGCTATGATTGAATATGACTGAATGACTATATTTTAGTGATATTTAGTGATATTTAGTCATAGTCTGTTTTTTTCCAAAATAATTTGCACAGATGGTTGGCAAAATGTAATGGGTGAGAGGAAAATGAGTTTTGTTCTGACACTTTTTTGTCGTTATTGTCCTAAGTACATGCTAGTCTGGCGGATCTAAATTGAAAGCCACATGCAGTCTCCTTAAACTAATTTTGCAACATGAGGACATCGGGAAAGTGTACATTTATGAAATATAGGTTTTAAATCAACAACACAAATACAAGAATGGGAGAAACCTACGCATAGAAAAAGTACTGTAATGAAATTTAAAAGAAAGATTACTTAAAGAAACTATTAGGAGCTTTCTCTCTCAATGTGTCCATCTGTATCCCTAACCGCAGCCAGACCAGCTCCATGTATGGGTGAGAGTGTCTACTTGGATACATTCTCCAGATCGCTGTCATTTATTTTCACCTTCAGTTATTATTAGCAAAGACACAAAGAACCCTTTTAAGAAATACCTCGTAATTGGCTTAAAGTCATAGTTCAGGTTAAATTCTTTTCCGTTCTTTCTGCTAGATGAGTTAACAGGGGCTTGAAACCTTCTGCACCCTTCTCTAGCAGCTTAGTCTTTCTCGCCATCATACCATGAACCTGGAGACCTATTTACAGGACAAGAAAAGTGTTCTCCATTTGCAAAGAGACGGGTCATGACAGAAGAAATATTCTTAGCAATCATGAAAGTAAGGATGTAAGGAGAATAGAGTGCCATTAATTATTGCAAGGAAAGTACAAACCTGCCTGCATCCCTAGTAATGTCTGAAAGAACTGTTAGAAAATGGGGTTTGTCTTTATTGTGATAGAGTATCCTTCATCTGTGTTTGACTTATATCTGTCTGGTGATTAATAGGTACATACCAGTTTAAAACCCCTGAATCTTCTCCACCGGGTACACCAATTGGCAGGATCAAAGCCAGCGACGCTGACATGGGAGAAAACGCCGAAATTGAGTACAGCATTACAGAGGGAGAAGGGCTGGACATGTTCGATGTCGTCACCGACCAAGAAACTCAGGAAGGAGTTATTACTGTCAAAAAGGTAATGCCGTTTGTTAAATACCATACAAACAAGCACATTCACTTCTCTCTAGTCCTCGAGTAACCGAGACAATTATATCTCACATGAACATTCCTCTAGATTCTTGTTTTACTAATTATTTTTTTTAATGCCAAGTCTAATGGTTGGCTTTTAGAGGTCCTCAATAATCTGATTCATTCATTCATTTATTTCATGCTTTTAATAAATTTTTATTAAGAACCTCCTAATAAGTAAATAAATGATAGAAATAAATGGTGTACATTAAAGTACATAAAGTAAATATAGTCAATGAATAATAGACAGCGTTAGGCACTCTTCAAGATGCGGGAGGTGAAATGGTACATTCAACAGAATGGTGTCCACTCTCACGGAACTGCCAATCTAAGGGAGAAAAGAGACAAGGAAGCAAATAAACAAAACAAATGTGTAACTAAATTCTGATACATGCTTTGAAGGAAAAGAGTAATGCAAGCAGTGATAAAGGTAGCCTGAATTAAAGACAGGATATAAAAAGACCACAGAAATAAATTAAATAACACAAATCTCCCATGAGCTGTTTAGCTACTTTTTGGAACACAATAATAAATTTTTTATATTTCTGAATTCCAATTTTTGTCCTATGTACTTATTCACTATTTACCCCCCCCCCCAAATTGTCTAGCATCACAGAGCAGTACACAGAAGTGTGGCAAAAATTTAAAACCAATAAACTGTGTGCTTCAAAGCTAAAAATTGTTATTTTGGGGAGTTTTTTTAATAACTGCATTTTTATCATGTATGATATAACATTTTCTCTCTCCTTTAGCATACTTGCTGGTAAAAATAAGCACAGGTAGATGTAAATAACAAGAAAATCCTTTCCTCTTAAGCTTTGAATTACATGTCTTAATACCTGGAAACACAATAAAACATGTTTAAGTGACATCCAGACCAATGTTTTATACTATAATATAATTAGGAAGCCCATTTGTGTGCATTAACCTTTTTAATTTTCTTAGTGCCTTATCAGATTCAAACTGAAATTTTGCCTAGCCGACTAAATCACTTTCACTAATGTCTTGATTAATTGTGTTTCTAGTGAGCCTTGTCATATCATCATCTAAAACTAAAAGTCAGCAATAAGCATTTGGGTTCACTATGTCTCCAGAAGCAGAGATACTTTTTCTAAAGACCTCTGACAACAATGATCATTACTTTCGTTGGCAAGTAATTAGCCCAATGCCCTTATCAGGATATCACTTGGAATATTTTATCAACTCAGGCACATGCAAAAAAAAAAAAAACCATATTAAATCTATTTTATCTGAATGAGGAAGAGGAAGTCATGATGCAAACTTGTGGTTCTCAATTCTGGCTGCACATTAGAATCACTGGGGGAGGTATTTAAAAGTATAGATTCCCACCCCCACCTCAGATATTTTGGTTTAATGATCCAGGGTGGGGTCCAGATACTGGCAAATTTTTTTTTAAAGTTTTTTTTAATGTTTATTCATTTTTTAGAGACAGAGAGAGACAGAGAGTGAGGGGGGTGGAGGAGAAGAGATAGAGGGAGACACAGACTCTGAAGCAGGCTCCAGACTCTGAGGTGTCAGCACAGAGCCTGACATGGGGCTCAAACTCACAAACCGTGAGATCATGACCTGAGCTGAAGTTGGAAGCCTAACCGACTGAGCCATCCAGGTGCCCCAATACCAGCAAATTTTAAACACTCATTAAGTATTCAATCAAAGTCAGATTTGCCAATTTGCCCCTAACATGACTCCCTCTAGTCAAATACAAGAATTTTCTTTACAGGGGGTCCTTTTTTATACAAGACTCCTGCTTCCAGGTTCTCTTCCCTGTCCGTTATACCTTGCACCCTTGCACCCACTTTCAAGGCAATAGTGGGCATGGTTTCAGCCCACAATTTTCATCAGGATGGTGTGGCATCTCATGCCTTTGCCCAATATCACACTGTGTGGTGATGTCTCTAAGCAATATAACCACATTCACTACCCATGATTTGCACTAAAAATGCCTTATGTCTCGTCTTTCTGTGTCTTGGCTGCTTTAAATATGTCTCTTCTCCCCACCCACCCCAAGGTCTTGGACTTTGAAAAGAAGAAAGTGTACACCCTCAAAGTGGAAGCCTCCAATCCTCATGTTGAACCCCGCTTTCTCTACCTGGGTCCATTCAAAGATGCAGCTACGGTCAGAATCATGGTGGAAGATGTGGATGAGCCTCCTGTCTTCAGCAAACTGGCCTACATCCTACAAATAAGAGAAGATGCTCAGATAAACACAACCATAGGCTCAGTCACAGCCCAAGATCCTGATGCTGCCAGGAATCCTGTCAAGTAAGCACACTTCTGAGACATGTCTTTTTCATAAACTTCAGTTGATTGCTATTCAAGTATCACCTGCAAGTTAGAAAATTAATGCTTTCTTCCAATTAGATATTTGTATCTTCCTGAAAAACAACTCTAAACAGCATCTTTACTCTCCTTGCTCAACAATTATTTTAGCAGCAGCATAAGCCTAAAAAAAACCCCACAAAATTGGGGGGGGGGACACAAAATGATCTATAGGAGCTTACTGCTTACGTGAAAATGGTATAAGGTAATAGAACAGAATGGCCTGGAATTTTTCTTGAAGGTCTTAGATTTGTCAAACAGTGGCATGGAGAGAGCATTGTGATTTTTAATAAACAAGACACCAGGCCAATAGTCTGTTTTTCAAGTGTGGAAGAATCTATCCTGTAACACTTAGAGGCAGAATTACACTCCATTTGGACGTGTAATTATTTTCATTTTCAGACATGGATAAAAATAAGAATCATTTCATGATATATGTCTGCGAAATCCTGGGGAAATTAATAGAGCTGAATCCTAATTTATACTATGTAAGCGAGCTCTATTTTCCCCATACATTCCTAATACCTTAGCTGTAAATCATGCTGCAAGAAAACCTCATTGCTCTTTGAAGTCACAGATGCTTCAGTATTCTAGAATTTTATCATGAAGGCACTGGAGTCAACAACTTCCAGGCTTTAGTCAGTAGCTTACTTGACTAGATGAGAAAACTGCTAAATAAGAATATTATTGTGTAAATTATCCCCTGTAAAAAAAAAAAAAAAGTAAGTAGACTAGAGGAACTCTTGCCAGTGAGCCCACAGATATATTCTGATCAGGGTGCCTGCCTTATGCCAGGCATGTTCTAGGCTTTAGAGATACAATAGAGAACAACATCAAGTCCTAATCTCACTAAGTTTACATTTTAATTGGTGAAGACAGAAATAGGCAAACAACAAATATGTAATATTTCAAGTGAAATACATTGTAAGCAGTAAAATAAGGCAGAGTATGGAAACAAAGAGTATCTGGGGTACTATTTTAGATAGCATGGTCAGGCTTGCCCTTGGTAGGAAATCATTTGAGTAAAGACTTGATTGAAATGAAAGGATGAACCATGGTGAATCTGGGAGGAGAATGTCCAAAGAAGAGGGGGAAATGAGGGTAAGGTATGATACCAGAGCTTGCTTGGCATGAAGAGGAGTAGCAAGGAAGCCTACAAAGCTAGAAGAAAGTGAGCAAGGTGGGGAGTGGTTGGGAAGGTCTGAGGCAACAGGAGGTTTGGTAGGTGGTAAGTGTGGCAGGTCCTAGGGACATCTGAAGGTATTGGTAAAGACTGAGTTCTATTCTGATTGCGGTAGGAAACCACTGCAAAGCTTTGAATAGGAGTATTACCTAATCTAAACCTAATTTTTAAAGAGGATCACACTGACTGCTGCATGAAAAATATTACTGCAGATAAAAGATTTTGAGGTTCTAAGGCATTTTCTAACTTTTCAACCATGAGCCCTTTGTTCAAATGAAACCTGATAGCAAGTCCCACATCTAAAACACAAAAATGCACTGACTTACTTTCAGGGAATAGTTTTAAATCATTGGGAAAATAGACTCTGTTGTTTTGTCATCCTACTGGAATATCTATAGACTCCTTGAATTGGACTATGGTCAACCCAAAGCAGCCACATGTAAGCTCCGTGGATCAAGTGTTCTATATACATTTCATATTATTAATAAGGAAAATGAATGATGGCCTTTGCTTGTATAACACAGATAATTTTAAGTACTTTCACAACTATTCTGTCACTTGGAGTTTGTCCTGTGTAAGGAAAAAAAATCTCAGCAAGTCAATGTCAAGACTAATTTAAAAGTGTTAATGCGGGGCGCCTGGGTGGCGCAGTCGGTTAAGCGTCCGACTTCAGCCAGGTCACGATCTCGTGGTCCGTGAGTTCGAGCCCCGCGTCGGGCTCTGGGCTGATGGCTCAGAGCCTGGAGCCTGTTTCTGATTCTGTGTCTCCCTCTCTCTCTGCCCCTCCCCCGTTCATGCTCTGTCTCTCTCTGTCCCAAAAATAAATAAACGTTGAAAAAAAAAATTTTTTAAAGTGTTAATGCTGGAAGTTTATATAAATATGAGCTTTGTTACCTGTTTGATCATTCAACATGTTTTTAATTGAAAGAGATAATGTCTCCTGGGAATTTAGGCTGCATTTTTATGTCTATTTCACTTTTTATAATGAATACCATTTTAACTCACTGCATTATTTTATGTTTTATTAAAGGAAGTAGCTAGCTTGTCAGACTGGGTTGGCTGTCAGCTAATTTTAAAGTTTTCTATGCCAGCCTTTTCTTGGTACATATGGATTTCATATATAGATATAGATTTAAGGATAAAAATACCAATAAGGATAAAGTAAGGATATATTGGTATATAAATGCATATTCCAATAAGTCCTTTTATAGGATAAAATTGATTCTTATATTGGGAAAGTATATCCACACATAGTTTTTGGTTATCCAAGATGTAAATATTGAACAACTAGGTGCTAGACAATGTTAAGTACACAATTAATACTAGAGATCTCCTCCCCCAAACATTGATTTATCATTATGCAGATACAAGTTTTTAATTATTTAATTAAATAAAATAATTTTCTTCCAATAACTGTATCAGAAATGCCCCTTGACTTCCATGAAAGGGTATTATAAAATGTCACTCTGAATAGATATTATGAAAAATCTACCTGCAAACATACTTCCTTTCCTGACCTAAAATCTCCCTGACTTGAGAGGATACATTAGAAGACAAATTATTGAATCACAGAATATAATAAATTTGGGGGGGAGAGCTACCTAGCAAAATAATCTGCTATAATCATGTTAAGATTGATTACCTTGTTTCTTATCTGTTATGACTACAATTAATATGACTGGACAGTAAATATACTAGATATGAATTGAAATTACTTTGGAAAAAAAAAACAACAAACAAATAAGGGTTCATGTGCAAACATCACTCCTAAATAATGTAGAAATCTGAGGTTTCCTATTACTTTTTAAATCTCCCAATTAAGGGGGAAACTCATATACAGTTTTGGTATTTAAATAGTTACTTTCTCTTTGGTATTTAAATAGTTACTGCCTCCAACTAATAATTCTTCACCCTGTACCCTTTATTTCAAAGACTTGACTGGAAAATATTGCTTGTAAAACTTAAAAGTATAGCAGGAAGAAAACAAATAACAAGAAAAGATTACTGCTGTATATAATTGTAAGAGCTTGTAAGGACAATAAGCAGTGCATCTTAAGCTCAATTTTTTCATGAAGGAAAAAACATAGGCAAAAAATGTAGGCAATGATTAAAGTTCTTAAAGAGTCTATGAATCCTGAAATTTCCTTTTTGGGAAATTAATTATGTGCTATAAATATTTGTCATTCTCAAATTAAAAATGAAGGCAGTTGATCAAGTTCAATGCTGTTGCCTAAATTCTTAATAAACATTGATTCATGACACAAATTGCAAAAATAAGAGCTGTTTCATCTGTAAGAGATGAACACTTAATAATAAAATATTAGGTTTATATAAACTAACATTAAAATTCTGAGGTGGCCTGAGATACAGATGTAGAGATAGAGATAGAGATATAGAAAGGTATATAGCTTTTTTGAACTTCATTAATTCTCTTTAATATCAGGTTTAAATGGCCTACAATAATCAAATATCTACTTTATTTAGACCCCTAATAGATGACAAAAATATATTTTATTAAGATAATTCACCAGTTCTATATTAAAGCAAAATAATCAATTGAAATAGAAACTACAAGTTAGTAACAAGAGTTTATTTTTCTTGGAGCATTCATAATAATTCTACATGTGTATGAGTAGCTAGATCATTTACTTAATTGTATTTCTACTGAGCCAACATTCAGAATCTAGCTGAAATGGGCAATTCTTTCCCCTAATGACCTTAACATATAAACTCTTTTCTGACTTTTCTCTTTAATATCCCATACATAAAACAGAGTACATACATATTTCCCCATATATAGCTATTCCCAAAACTAGTAATAAATTTATAAAGAAGATAACATTTCTCAAAATTTACTAGTCTTCCGTCAATTTCAGTGTTGAGAAAACTCTGTCCTTTAATTTCTTTTTTTTTTTTTTAATTTTTTTTTCAACGTTTATTTATTTTTGGGACAGAGAGAGACAGAGCATGAACGGGGGAGGGGCAGAGAGAGAGGGAGACACAGAATCAGAAACAGGCTCCAGGCTCTGAGCCATCAGCCCAGAGCCTGACGCGGGGCTCGAACTCACGGACTGCGAGATCGTGACCTGGCTGAAGTTGGACGCTTAACCAACTGCGCCACCCAGGCGCCCTGTCCTTTGATTTCTAAGATACCTCTTGGTTTTCGTTGAATTCTCTCAACTCCTTAAATAGTTATCAAGTTCCTACTCGGCTCTGGGACTGTTCTGGGCACTGTTCTGGGCACTGTGAGTCTTCATTCTCCCATCATCTTTTTTTTTATGTTTATTTATTTTTGAGAGAGAGAGACAGAGCATGAGTGGGGCAGAGGGAGAGAGCGAGGAAGGCACAGAATCCAAAGCAGGCTCCAGGCTCCGAGCTGTCAGCACAGAGCCGGATGCGGGGCTCGAACCCACAAACTGTGAGATCATGACCCGAGCTGAAGTCAGACGCGTAACCGACTGAGCCACCCGAGTGCCCCCTTCCATCATCTTTTAAGTGATTCTGTCCTAAATATTTTTCTCCCTTCACTGGACCTTCTCTTCCTAGACAATTGAATAGGAAATCTAAGTTGTCAATCTAGCTCTTTTGCTTCCCAAACTTTTCTTGGGCATCTCAGCTTCAATATCAAAACTGGAACTTATGATCTTCCCCAAATCCTGTTCTTCTCTTGTACCAGCTGGGACAGCACCAGCCAACCATTCTCCTCAATTCAACCAGCAATCTTTATTAAACATGATTTGGATTAAAATCCACTGGTATATTCACATTGTTCTTAGGACAAATCCCAAATCCTTGCCGTGGCCAGCCCATTCTTCTGCAGTCCAGCCTCTGATTCTCTCCCCAATTTCATCTTTCTCCCTTTCCTACCTCACTAACTGCAGCCACACTAGCCATTTTTTGCTTCTTTCAACATAATGATTTTAAAATAAAATGGATAATAGAAAACTAGACAAATAGCCCTACTTATGTACATGAACACACACATATACATTAAAGTTCTAAGATTAGAGTTAAAATGTATTAATATACAAACTAGATACAAATTACATATAAAAAAACTTCATTGTTGATTTTCAAACTCATGCAACTTGTCTAATGGGTTTACATTAGGATCTCAATTGTAAAGAATTAATTTTCCAGAATGTTTTACTTAATATTAAGTTATAGATATTCAGATACGTGCTACAAGGTAGAAAAAATTCATGTAACAGACATTCTTGGAATAGTTGCAGGGTGTGAGAATAACAAATACAACAAGGACCTTTCTAGCATTGTATGGGGACAGATGGTACACTTGTGGTGAGCACAGCATAACATATAGACTTGCCAAATCATTATGTTGTATACCTGAAACTAATGTAACAGTGTGTGTCAACTATCATTCGATAAAAAGAAAAGAAAAGAAAACCATTCTAAATTCTGCTCTGCATTTTTAGGTATTCTGTTGATCGACACACAGATATGGACAGAATATTCAACATTGATTCTGGAAATGGTTCAATTTTTACGTCGAAACTTCTTGACCGAGAAACATTGCTGTGGCACAACATTACAGTAATAGCAACAGAGATCAGTAAGTCTAACCTCACAGAGCAACTGTCCCCAATTGATGGAGTGAGTGTCCCAGCAAGGGCTGGTGAAGTAACGCTGAAATTAGTCACCATGTACTGATATCCTATTCGATACCTATTGAGGGAAAGAGCCCTGTAATGATTTGTAGTGATGTTTCTTCTAGGCATGTGCTCATTCATTCACAAATGCAGAGGCAACTGTGGATGTTATGTAGTTCAGAAATAATAACATGAGAATGTACCTCTCAGATGAGGTTGAATTGGTACATATGGGATTCAATTCCAAAAAGCTTTATAAATCAGAACATTACAGAAGCAGCTGAAAAAATGAACTCATGGTTAGGATTGGTGGGGAGGAGAATCAAGTATATTAAAAACTGTAGGCATTACGTAGAAATATCTCAGATATCTCTCTCCTGGCTTTCTACAGAATTTCTATTTCAAAATCATTACAGAAGTAAGAGATATAAATTTTAGCTTTTCCATTGTACACCAAAGTGAGCAATCCAAACCACCAAGTAATCAATAAAATGTTTAGAGTGAATTTTATGGAAGTCACCATGAAATTAAAGGCAAAGAAAAATAATGCCAAATGAATGCTTCAAATAAAATGATTATACACAGTGAAAATTGTGTAATGTAAACACAATGTGTAGGCCTAAGTACATGAAGGAAAAAGTATTTTTAAAATAACATTTAAATGTTTAAAAATAGGCTTCTAAATTATAGCTCATTTTTTAGTTTTTGTTTTTGATTTTAAAAGTTCAAACATTTTAGCTCAGTTGGGTATCTGGTGTGAAATATTCCATGTCTAATGGTATATTACAGTAGTTTTCTTTGTCAACGTAACTCATGAGATTTGAAATGGCTGAAGGATATTGAATAGAATAATAAATAACCAATATGGGCAAAATGAAGCATTGCCTTGTGATAATGTTAAGAATTCTTAATTAAAAATTTGTTAGGTAGGAATACGCTCTTCAGAATTTATGTGGAGGGACTAATGCAGATACCAATGGCAGAGCATACTTAAAGCTTTAAAATTACAAAATTATTTTTTGCACTGAAAAGGACCACTTTTTATAACATCATGAAATTTTATTTTTTACTGAAGTAGTCATTTCATGCATATTTTAAGCTTTGTGCCTAATTTTTTTTTTTTTAAGATTTAATGTTTCTGTGATATATTTGAAAGTACTTACTAGTGATAAAGACCTTTTAAGACTTCATCTTTGGCAATTCTAACTTTGGAAGACTAATGTGGGAAACATTTTAGATGCAAAGGAACTTAAGAATCTTATTGTCTAAACGTCTTAACTATCTTTGATGCAACAGAAGCCCAGAGCTTATGTGAAACCAGCCCACTCCCATTCCAGGGCCTTGGCATTTACTGTTCCCTCCCTCTGGAGAGCTGGAAATATTCACATAGCTTAATTCTTTTTATTTGTGTCTCTGTACAAATGGCATCTCATGAGATGAGACTGAGTGGTTATCCCATGCAAAGTATCACCTCCATCTCTCTCCAATCCCTTTCCCTGTTTAATTTCTCCAAAGCATGTACCATTTCACAGTTTGTCTGCCCCCATTAGAATAAAACTTAGCATGCAGGATTTTTGTGATGTTCCCCATGTGTCCCAGCACCCCAACTAGTGGCTGGCACATATGAAAAATTAGATGGTCAGTAAATATTTATGAAGCGAACAAACAGATACATAAGTGAAGTGAATGAAGAGGGCTGAGTTCAGAGGTTCTAACTCCTGATTCTTAGACCAGGAATCTGTCTTCCACACTACCCCAGATACTTCACTTGTCCCTGGTTGTCAAACATGGGTGCGGCTCTCTCACTATCCTAGGTGAACGGTCTGGGCTTGGAGTCAGACAGACCCAAGTTTAAATCAAGGCTCTACTTCTCACTCATTATCTCTGTGAAGATGGACAAGTTACCTAACATATCTGTGCATCAGTTTCCTCATCTATACAATAGGGGCAAAAACTTTATTTACAGAAAAGGTTGTAAGGATTAAATAAGATAATATAGCAAAATGCCAAGCACTATGGCACAAAAACTAAGATGAAAACATCCTCTGGTTTCCTTGATCCCCCCCCCCACCCCGCCCCCAGCCCCCTGGCTCTTTCTTTTGTCCAAATGTTTTCCCATCTCCCTGCTTCTTTGGCTTCCCTTAAAATCTGCCTCTCAACTGCCTTTCCTGGATAAAGTTTTTCTTTATTTTTGTGTTATTCTGGGGGTTGCTATACAGTTGCCCTATATCAACACAAGTAGCTTTATCTCCTAGGTATTTCCAGCAGGTGTATCCAACTCCAGAAGCATTCTCTTTTGTGACTAATTCTTTTTTGTGACTAAGTTGGTACACAGTGCCTTGTGGTACTCAGAGCAGCCTTGGTGAATCTGTGTATGAATGAGAAAGGAGTGAGTGACTGTTGTCTAAAGGGGGTTGACAATCGACATATAAATGCCTATTCCCTTCTTTTTGGCATGTTGCAGATAATCCAAAGCAAAGCAGCCGAGTCCCTCTATATATTAAAGTTCTAGATGTCAATGACAATGCCCCGGAATTTGCTGAATTCTATGAAACCTTTGTCTGTGAAAAGGCAAAAGCAGATCAGGTGAGTTTCATAAGAAAGTAAATTAATTTAGTCAGATTAATTTAGATCTTCTAATAACTCAGACGATACACAGAGCTGAGGGCCAGGTTTGAATTAAGTATGAAGTAAATGCTAACAAAATTAATACTATAAATAAGAACAGAATGAATGTTTAACTTGCATAAGAGAACAAGCAGTTTTTAAGAACTGGAAGTTCATCATTCTCAAAGACTGATGTGGATTCAAACCAGTCCTGAGTTTTCATTAAAATAGATTAGTCACAGCTTTATGTGAAAAATCTTAATTGGTGAGCAGATACTTTTAATTACCATGTGTACAGAGAGGAAAGCAATAACTACGACATATTTTACAATTGCCCATAATTCATAGTTCCACTTACTTATATTGCCCATCTGTACAAGTAATACACATTCGTGAATGTTTTCCTGTTTTACACATTTGTCCCCACCTGAAATAGGTCTTTTCTACCAATGGTATAAAATTATGTTACAGTTTGTCGAAACAGCGGTACACTGTTAAAATACATGTTAGGGCAGGAAGTTGAAGTTTTGTTTTATGTACAAACTTTCTTTTTAGTTTTTATGCAAGTTGATGGTTTATGTATATGTCAAGACTGCATTTCTAAACAGGCTGTTGTACAGAGTGCCCAAAGTTTTTTAGTTGAAATGCTGTGGTAGATCACTGTGATATTTTATAGTTTTGTATCACTCTAGGGCAGTGTTTGCCAACCCAAGTGATTTTGCCCCCAGGGGACATTTTTTGATTGTCACAAAGAGGAGGGTGTCACTGGTATGTAGTGGGAGGAGACGAGGCTTGCTATTAAACATCCTACATACAGTGCCCAGGATAGCCCCAAAACAAAGTGTTATTTTGGGCTCTATTTCCAACCCATCATTTCATTGCATAGAGTGGACTCACTGTAAATTTTCTAGAGACTATCGTTTTTAAATTAAAATCAGAAATCATTTAGTCAAGCAATTTACTGCAACACTGTAAGGAATGCTTTTGAGTTACCAAAACTTTATAGCAGCTTTATGGTTTTGATTTTAGTTGATTCAGACCCTACGAGCCATTGACAAAGACGACCCTTATAGTGGGCACCAATTCTCATTCTCTTTGGCCCCTGAAGCAACCAGTGGCTCAAACTTTACCATTCAAGACAACAAAGGTAAAGGAGCCCAAGTTACTTTCTCTGTCTATATATTTATATCTTTATCTCTATCTATCTACTGTCATCACAATTGTTGCAATCCATGACGTGGTATGCACGTTAACATTGACTTTGCTTTCCGGTTCCAGATAACACAGCAGGAATCTTAACTCGGAAAAATGGCTATAATAGACACGAGATGAGCACCTATCTCCTGCCTGTGGTCATTTCAGACAACGACTACCCAGTCCAAAGCAGCACTGGGACAGTAACTGTCCGGGTCTGTGCATGTGACCACCATGGGAACATGCAGTCCTGCCATGCGGAGGCCCTCGTCCACCCCACGGGACTGAGCACAGGGGCTCTCATTGCCATCCTTCTGTGCATCGTGACCCTACTAGGTAAACTGCTTCTCCCTGCATCCTATCTCCCCATGAGAGGCACACACTGTTACTGTGACACTCTAGATTTATCCGCCTCCCCCATTAAGGCATACAGCCCGCTCTAGGTGAGTAGAGTTACATGCTGAGAATCTGTGTTGTTCAATCATGAACTAGTTTTTGTTTGAACATAGCTTTGGCGAATGAACAGATATGAAACTTGCCTATGTCTTTACCTACTCAGGGAATCATTCGCCAAAGAAATCTCTTGTCTGTTAGACTGGGAATGAATCCCAGGCAGGATTTGAGGGCACTATATAAATAGGCCCTTTTCATTTCATTTGTTGTTTAATATCTAACCTGGCAAACACTGTTAAAATGTAAAGAGTGAGAGTCACCCAGTATGGAGGGTGTGATGATGGCCCTTTGTATGAAGGTAAAGTTTAAAGATCAGTGGGCAAGTGGAAAGAGAAATGTGATGACTTTTTCTCTCTCAAATGGGAAATAAAGAAGTGATTAAATTTTCTTCAACCCAGCCAACTTGCTTTGATCTACCCATTTAAATAACTACCTTCTTAGCATTGCTCCCCGAATGCCACATACACAATGTCTATTATTTCTCAGACTCCCAAAAATAAATAACTTCTATGACTGAGGAAGTAAATCTGGGACCTAAAAGAAATGAATGCAATCAAGGTGAAAATCAAGGTTTAGCAATGATTCAAAATGAAAGTTTCATCCCCAACAAATGAATTAAGCTCACAGGTTGAGCTCAAAACACTTTACAGACCGTTGCCTGTTGTGAACTAAGAAATCAAATGTTAGTTAACTCAGTCCTTCCAAAAATCAAAGCAAGCTCCCCTACACAAAGGGAAGAAAGGGAAGAAGTGTCAACCCGGGGGGCGGGGGGGGGGGGGGGCTGACTTTTTCAAAACAAAAACCTGACAATTTGGTGACTTTGAGAGAAGGAAAGAAGAAAGAGTAAAGACCTACATTTTTCCAAGAAGAGAATGCCTAGGGATCCCTGCTCAAGAACTTCACATTTCGTATCATTTTGCTAATTATAACAGAAGTCTTGAAACTTAACTACAGAGCTGTGATTCTCTTTGTCAACGAAGATTTGGGGGAAGTATTTTAAGATATGAGGATAAATAAAAGCTGACAGTATGCAAAGACAAATCAGTGTTTCTAATGGTGTGAGTCTATAACAGTTGTTTTGGAAGAGAAGGATATGAATATTCTTTTTGATTAAAAAAAGTTATTTTTAGAAGGGCTGAATTGGCAGGGCTGTACTCAGGGAGAATTCCATGGACATTTTGTGGTCTGTAGAAAGAGAGCTGACTCTCATCTCATAGAAGTGATTTCTCCTTACCTTCATCATCTACCCATTTTCTCCTCCCCACTTTTTTCCTTACCTACTCCCTCTATTCTCCCTTTTCATTTCCTTCTCCAATGAATTCACTGTCTCCTCGTTACTCCTAACTTGTTTCAGTGCTTCTTACAGCTGGTCTATTCTCTTTGGAATTCTGTACCCAATAAGACAGGAAATAAATGGGATTTAACCCTTCCTAGGCTAACACCATGGGCTATAAACTGGGCAAGAGGCTTCACAACTGTTTTTCTCATTTAACCCTCAGAACCATCTGGTATGTATTTATCTGCATCTCAAATTAGAGTACTGAGGCTCTAAGATGTGCAGTCATGTAGCCGACTCACACAGCTAACAGGTGGTGGGACAAAGTACAAAACGCCGGTCTTCTCCCCCTGAGCCTCAGGGCTTCCACATTGCTCTCTACTTTCTTTGTGAGCTCACAGAATGTAAGGTAATTTCCAGGCTGAAAGAGCCCGAACTGAAAACAAGACCATTGAAGAATGTGGAAACAAACCTCAGGTTTTGTAAGAGAAGGGAAGCCACAACGATAGAGGAGGAAACCTACAGTCAACAAAGTGGATCATGTGGCATCTCTTATTTTATTTACAAAAATAAAACAACAGGGACACCTGGGTGGCTCAGTCGGCTAAGCTTCCTACTTCAGCTCAGGTCACGATCTCATGGTTCGTGAGTTCAAGCCCCACATCGGGCTCTCTGCTGTCAGCACAGAGCCTGCTTCGGATCCTCTGTCTGTCTGTCTCTCTCTCTCTCTCTCTCTGTACTTCTCCTGTGCTCTTGCTCTCTCTCACTCTCTCTCAAAAATAAATAAACATAAAAAATAAAAATAAAAAAATAAAACGACACTGAAAACAACTACTACATCTCGTGTCTCTGTGGTGCTTTACAGTCTGCACAACTGTTACATTTATTAACTCATTCCTGATGACAGCACTGGCCACTGTGTTAGTGCCTCTCTTTTACAGAAGGAAACACACTTAAAAAGGTGAAATCATTTAAGTGAGCCTAGGCAGGCTGATTTCAAGTGCCTTGCTACCTTCTAGCTTTATGATGGGATTTGAACACAGGTTGGTCCAAGCATTCCCCACTCAAAATCTCACCACTATCCTCTGGCCTCAGGGGATTGAGAAAAGGGAAGAGGTCAGTCACTGGGAAGAAAGCTATTACTTTCTCAGAATGTATTTTTTTTTTGCTCCACATGCTTAGAACTCACATCTTCAGTTTATAAAAGTTAGCTTTGAGAAAGATCTCCTTTCCAAAATTTCTGTTCAGATGTACATTGGGCTAAGAAGAAAAGTACAGGCAGTCGTAGCTGTAGGAGAATTAGGCAGTGAATGAATGCCTCTGATTCACCAAATGTGCCCTCTCTCTTCCAGGCAATCGCACTTCTGGGTGTGCATAGGACTAAAATAAAAGATACAGATAACCCAAGCCGGGGAAGAATTAGGAAGTGATAAATGCCTGCTATCTTGCCTTAAATGGTGGCACAAACCATTGTACATACAGGTTTAATTCTTTCCAAGACAGTTGTCTTGATTCTATTCTCTAACCCCAGAGGCCATCCTCAGTTACAGTCCTTTGTTTTGCAAACCCTTGTCATTGGTCACACGGGAATCCGGAAAAAAGCGTAGACTATGAGCATGCCCTGCAATTTTCCACCCTCCCGCACCTCAGGGTAAAGTAAAGATATACAGAAGCCTCCAGGCTCCACGTGACAGGCCGTGCCCTCCTCCTCTCCTCTCCTGGGCCCCCTCAGGTGCAGCCATAGCGTCTCCAGGCTGTTTCTCAAATACTCTAGGCACCTTTGCACCCCAGCCTTTCCTCCAGCTCTGTCCCCCTCACCCGACAGCTCCTCAGATAATTAATTCCCCATATCTTTGCTCAAATGTCACTCCTCTTAAACACACGGCCCCTCAATCATACACAGAAGTGCTCCTCATCCTCCTTTCTCTGATCACCTTTTTGTTTCCACTGTACATATCACCTTCTAATGATTTCCTTATTTATTAGACACATTATTTGTTTTTCAAGATCTCCATCCACCACCACAGCCACCTCTGCCCACCTCATTAGGACGGGGCTCTTGATCAATGTTTTTCATTGATAGTGTCTAGAACTATAGCTGGCACAAAGTAGGCACTACATAAATAGTTAGTAAAACGCCCTGAACGGCTGGGATGAATGAGGCAGGAGGATGCTGTCTGGCAGCAAATGACAATGTATACAGTTACACAATCGCACGCTTGAAAATGGCAACACTGGATATCCTTCAGAAAAAGTCTATAATCAAAGCACGCTTTAACGCATGGTGATTAATAAGGGTGTTGGCTTTTTAGTTTGACCTGGATTTCAATTGTTTGTACATGTGACATCTCTAAACCTCAACTTCCTCTGTGTAAAATGGGGTTATAATGATGGTACTTACTTTGTAGGGCTGCTGTGACGATCAAATGAGATTCAGTATGTAAAGCACTTAGCACAGTGTTTGGCACATAGAACGCTCTCAGTAGATAACCAATTATTATTAATGCTATTAACACCTGAAATTTTAATATATAGACACATGCGAATGCATGTATCCATCATTCTGTGTGTAGGCATCCATATCCACCAAAAGCCATTATTCTGTAATTCTTACTACAGTAATTCAATTTTTATGACTCATAAAATCTGGACCATGTTATGGATGAGAAAATAAAAACACATTACTAGTACTTCTTGCAGTAAACAGCCCTGGACAAACCCAGTTTCACAATGCAGTTTCTGCCCTGGATGGCTGCTTTCTCTCTAAGCTGTCGTTGTCTTTTTATTTTCCCACCCATATGTCCATTTGGAGATGTGTCTGTCTACAGGTAGGCAGCTGCGAAGAAACATCAGGAGTTATTTAAACACGATTCTTGCTTTGCCTCTAATTGGAGTTCAGAGGAAAAATCAAAAGGACAAACATTCCAGGCATCACACTTAACAGAATACTAACTCTGAAAGATTTTTTTTTTTAAGTTCCCTCTTAAATGTGTTTATTTTATTTAGCTCCAACAGAAATAAGCTGGTGTGTGTCTTATCACCCGCCCCCTTTCAAACCGGCTGGTGTTGAAGTCCAGAATGGCTTTCTGAATTGTATCTGGGTCTCTCCAGGTATTATCTGTAATAATATTTCTTATATGTAGAAAGGTATGCAGACATTCACATGTCTACTTTGGGTTTTAAACCAATTTTACGCTTCTCTGAGGAAAAAAGAAGGAGAAGAAGAAGAAGAAGAAGAAGAAGAAGAAGAAGAAGAAGAAGAAGAAGAAGAAAAAGAAGGCAGAGTGCAAAAGTTATTTTAGACGTGTAGTTATGCAAACCCTTCAACACATCCCGAAGGTGCCAGCCTTGTGCTTATAAGCAGTTTCAGAGCATTTCAGGTGTTCGGCATAATTTGCACTCTGATTGCTGCGCTCTCGCTGTGTTTGAGCTTTTTTTTTTTTTTTTTTAATCATTATTATTATTTTATTTTTTCCTTACCTTCAGACTAGCTCCCCGTTTCAAAGCGAAAGGGAACTACTGACAAAAATATGAAGGTGTTTTATCCTCTACTTAAATTGTAACTTTCCTTCAAATATTCTCCTCCGCTTTTGGGGGGGGTCCCCGGTTTGATCACGCGTGGAGGCAAGCGCGATCTTCAAGGAATAAAAGTTGAGTCTGCAGTTTCCCGGAGAAGTTTTGAAACTTCACGTTGGAGCGCAGCGCTGCTTGCTGACATTAATCGGGCGGCAAATTAACTTCCCCTTTCCTTCTGCTTTGTCTCTGCTTCCAGTGACGGTGGTGCTGTTCGCAGCTTTGAGGCGGCAGCGGAAAAAAGAGCCTTTGATCATTTCCAAAGAGGACATCAGAGACAACATTGTCAGTTACAACGACGAGGGTGGCGGAGAGGAGGACACCCAGGCCTTTGATATCGGCACCCTGAGGAACCCCGAAGCCATCGAGGACAGCAAATTACGCAGGGACATCGTGCCCGAGGCCCTTTTTCTGCCCCGACGGACTCCAGCCGCTCGAGACAACACCGACGTCCGGGATTTCATTAACCAAAGGTTGAAGGAGAACGACACGGACCCCACCGCGCCGCCCTACGACTCCTTGGCCACCTACGCCTACGAGGGCACCGGCTCGGTGGCCGAGTCGCTGAGCTCGCTGGACTCGGTGACCACGGATGGAGACCAAGACTACGACTACCTTAGCGACTGGGGCCCGCGGTTCAAAAAGCTGGCAGACATGTACGGAGGCGTGGACAGTGACAAAGACTCCTAATGCGTTGCCTTTGTCACCTCGCAGTCCGCCGCCCAAGGACCTGCAGTGGCGACGCCCGCCTCCGTGTCCACCGCTCCGCGAAGGCTTCTCGGTGGTGCCCGTTCCCGACGTCGACGGCTGCAGTCCGGGGGGACCCAACGCGAGGGACTTTTTTCTAGTACACTTTTATGAGCTTCCAAGAGGCAAAGGTTTATTTTTTAGCGCATCCAGTTATCCATGTCGGTCAGCCCCCCAGGCCCCGTGCTGGAAGAGAGAACCAGGAGTGGTATTTTCCCTTGCTCTCCTAGGGCGGGTTGGGAACACGCTCAGTGTCACTGGCCCGGCCTCCCTACCACACTCCATTGACTCAGGTCAGCTGACTGCTCTGGCTGTACATTTCACACGCTAATGAGATGAGGGACTGTGCTTTAACGATAAAAATATAGTTTTAGTGGGAAGAAATGAGGGAGGAACAACTGTGAGGTTGGTCCGGGTATATCCGCTCGCAAGGAGATGATGGACTGTGTATATTGGGTGTGTTATATGGGTGTGTCCCAAAGTATTTAAAACGGCATTTGCCTGTCCTATGTGTTCTTCAAGAACTTTTTCCGGCACCAGTGACTATTCAAAGCATCAAATCCACCAGTGTTTTAAGATTCTGGGTCCTCTTTAGGACTAGAAACAAATCAAATGGTAATATTAAAAAACAACAAACAAAACATAATGATATCTCATTCCTGGCCACTAACTCATATTTTCTTTTTATATGTTAAACACACAAAAGTTTGCCCTTGCACCGTATAAAGAGAAAGGGAAAATAGCTAATGATGTCAACAAAGGAAATATTTAGCATATTTAAAGCTCGGGCCACCAAATGTACTACAGATCACTTAAAATTACTTCCACCATCAGTATCAGTAAACTAATCACAAGTAAGTCTAATTGTTTCAAATTCTCAAAGAAACTTTTCTGAGACAAATTTTAACTCCTTGTCTGTAGTTGTTGTCAGTATTATTCTAATATACTGGAAAGTAGCCGTGTGAAGTACAATTCATATTCTTGATGCTTCGTACACAATTAAGTTACATTAGTAAAGGTAGATTAGAAAAACTCAAATCCTGCCCTCAGAGTTTAATGGGGACATGAGAGCCAGCCACACTTGAACCTGATAACTTGTCCTGCACATATGGAAACATCTATATATTTATATGATGTGATATAGGTGTATTGTTGAGATCACAGTGAAAAACTACACATTACATGTTTGGAAGATGCTTACGAAGGGAAAAAATTGATTCCCTTCAACGAGAGTGTTTAAGATGGTATTAAAATGATAGTTGACATTCAAAAGCATTAATATTTTTCCATTGTTTTTAACTTCGTTGCTATGGCAACTCTGCCATCCTTGTCTTTGAACCAATGATAAAGTAATGGTCTCAAACTACAACAGAAAAGTAATGTACAATCCATCCAATCTATTATTTCTCTAATTATGCAATTAGCATCATAGTTATTATCCAGAGGACCCAACTGAACTGAACTAATCCTTTTGGCAGGTTCAAATCATTTATTTCATATGGCTGTTCTAATGATTTGTATCATTAGAATCTTACATTGTGCAGTCATCAGAAAATTCCAAAGTACTGTAATGAAAACATTGTTGTTTCAAAAACTTAGAAAAGAAAAAAAAACCCAGGCTCTGTATATATCTATATATCTATATATCTATATATATTATGTACTTAAGAATATGCTGACTTCAATTATTAGTCTTAGGGATTTATTTTCAATTAATGTTAATTTTCTACAGATAATCTTAATGTCATTTCCATTTGGAGATACTGTCATATGAGCACATACTTTCTATTTGGAACACACTGTTGTTTAGTTAAGTTTTAAATAAGCGTGTTACCCAGGAAGTAAAGACAGCACCCTTAAAATAAGAGAAATGTAGTCTTTTGGGTTAACCAATTAGAGTGAAAAGTTTTTTAACCATATTATTCCTTGTGTTTCCTGAATGGCTTCCTATTTTGTAATGGACTTCCCTGTATACTAACAAGTATTTCATGTTTTCAGGGTTTTCTTTTGCTAGTTCTTCACACACACACACACACACACACACACACACACACAGGAATGCAAACAAAATACTATGGGAGGGTTTCACTGTAATGAATATCATAGTCACAGTTAAGTGTTGAAAAAGATAGCTTAGTAAAGTTAATTAGTAAGAACTAGTTATTCATAGCAATAGAATACCACCTTAATCACATGACTTACTGTAAAATTAAAGAGCTCTCTGTCCTTATGTTTCATGTCATGTAATAAATTGTATCAAGAAAGATAGTCCTGTAAAAAAGAAAGTTATCATCAGAAGTCTTCCTTTTGAACTTTTGGGTTAATTGGAATGTCTGAGGGTTGACGCTAGCAACTTCCAATGTTTAACGGTAAGGTTTATTCTCTCCTCATAAGTGAAAGTAAGTAGTTCTGTAGTGGAATGTTTGAGATGTAATTGGCAGGTATATTATCCCACCTTGAAGACGGTACAGTGAACCAAGAACAAGTGAATATGACTAAATATTGAAATAACTGCTTAATCTCTTACCATAAAACCTGATGATGAAGTGACTCTCTAAGAAATTGGATAATTTAAGACTAGAGCTGAATATTTTAGTACTAGGGTCCTGTAAGTGTTCTCTGAAAATTAATACTCTCTGATGTCATGGAAATAATGAGAGCCATACTTCCATCATTCTGTGTGTGTCTCTCTTCCTTCCCACCAGGATACCGGGTCAAGGATCCCAGTGAACATAAATGATTATTGGAGGAAAAAAAAATTAGTTTTCAGCTCAGTTTTCAGAAAGTCTCTTTCCTGATAGTAGATGTTAGTGACAAGAAAGATGGCAGGAAAATGGGAAGAGGTAAAATTTAATATTTGCTTTGGTCACTGAGAAACTACAATTCATTCATTATAAGCAGATGACTTTTATGGATTGCTTCAAGGACATTGAGGCCCTTCTGAAAAATTTTTCCCCTCCATTCAAAGGGAAGAGTTTCTTCAAACCACTAAGATGTTCCCTAAAATAAGCTGGAATTTTTAAAATGTTAAGCTGCTGTGCATAAGTTTACAACCCCATCACTTCATGGCCACTTTCTGCTGAAAGGCCTAAACATTTGTCCCAAAATAAAAAATGAAATCAAATGGGGGAAGAGATGGTTCCATGGAATCATAAGTGAGGGATTCTAGGCACAGTGAATAAATGTTTTTTTACAGAGCTTTTTAGCCTTATAGTTCAGTTGCATAAAAGGAGTTTCAGATACAAATTGACTCCATTTTCAAATGGAACAAAACCTGGTGATTCAATTTTAACTCATTAAAAAAAAAATTGGCTTAGTGTTCATTTTCAGCTCCAAAAAGTTGTACAAAAATTTCTTAAAAGTTGAATCTCTATCTTGGAAGCATCCAAATTTTGTCAATCCAAGTTAACTTTAGAGTGTTTCCATTACTTTCATTTTTAAGTACGTCAATATTAGATGTCCTGATTTGCTAAGCGAACCTTACATCAAATGCTTTGCCTTGAAATCAGTATTTCACTGAAGATAATAATATATAAACTATGAGTTAAGAATTCCTCAATTCTATAAACTTGAGGACCACAAAAGTATATAGATGAAAGGGAAGAACAGAGTTGGTTCTTGGGCCCAAACTAAATATTTAAATCAGACACACCTAAATTAATTTTCCCTAGGAACCAAACCACCGAATAAATTATCTTACCCTACTCCCTAGTTTTGAAGCAATATAATTACTTTGGAAGAACGCTCTAGAAAGTCATGATTCCCCACTATTTTGAAAGGTATCCTCTAAAAAGGATCATTTTAGAGTAATTTTATTCTTTATGTTTTTGTCTAGATGAAGTCTTTTTTTTGAATTGTGACAGGGCCAATGCTTGACACAGCCAAGCATTTATATTTAACACTAAAACCCAGCCTCCTTTATCAGGTTATAAGAGTAGAAAGATTAAGACTTAGTACATGGATCTTCAGGAAGATGAACTATTTTCTCAAGTCTAACAAACAACTTTCTTTTCCAGAGAATACAGAATTACAGAATGGTCTCCTTAAAAGTTCAGTGACTATTAGGTTTGCAGCATTTTTAATCTCCCTTTGGCATCTTTATGGAATAGTTTTCTAAAGGGGTAATTCTCTCTACTAAAAAATATCAGACTCTGACCGTATTCAGTGTGCAGAGGAATACCCTCTTATAAAGGAAATATGTTGACTCGCACACTTGTTAAAAGTTAATAAAGAAATAGCTCATTTTTAAAGCCAGAAGTTTATGGTCTCTGCATCGTCAATTTAATTTAAGCATTACTGAGACAATCTTTAATCTACTCCGCATTTTGTAATACCTTATTTATGATGCATTTTCATTTTTTAATTTGGGGGGAATGTTAGTCCGATAGATGAAAGTGCCAAAAGGAGGTCAAATGGAAACAAAGCCTATTACCCACTGTATTTCAGACAGGACTGAGGCACTTAGCCTGAGAGCCACCGGGTTATTAGATTAATTTCAAAAGAGCTTTTACAAGTTGCTTAATTCCATTTTTTTTTAAACCCATGGACCACAAACTCAAATTTCTCTTCAAATGGGGTTAATCTGACAAATGAGGCATGGACCCAGCGTTGTGGAAAAAGCATTCCGCTATAATGAGATCTTGGTCTTTCTTGCGAGACAGTGTTATTTATGTAAATATGTCTAGAGGCACCTTCTATAAGCTTTTAGTTTTCTATGATCTATTAGTTTAGTGTTTATTAAGGAATCAAATGTATAGAACTACTAGACATTCAGGGCGAATGCTGTGTAGCAAACCAACTTGTCTGCTCGAAAGAAACATAGGAACACTTCAAAACCACCGTATTGTTCTGTTTGTGATTATTTTCATTGCTTTGAAAGTAAACTGCCTAAGAATAGGCCTTATAATAAATACTACGTGCGTCCTCAGTAGTACCAAGCTAAGGCGATTTGGCATTCTCCTACTGTGATTTGTGATTTTAAATCCAGAAAATAAAAGCTTTTTGGTATTGATTGTTTTTAATTAAAAATACTCCCAAGTATAAATTGAAGCTGATGCCACCCTTGAAGATTTGCTGGCTGGGATGCTCAGTCGATGGCTTTTCTCAGTATCATTGGTCCCTGGCAATGAGAACACCTGATGGAAACAACCCCTGCTCAGCTTTCATCCACATTTCTAGCTGGGGATATTTTCATAACTTCACAGTTTACATGAGAAAGTTTCCTGTGTTGGAAGGAGAGGTAAGACAATGACCTTACAGCTCAGTGTGGCCGCGCCTTTTGTTGTAGTCAAATGGCAAAAAACACGCTCCTTGAAATGGCTTCTTTTATTTTCCTTTGTTTTCTTAGACGTATACATTTGAAAAGAATGCAATTTAAAAAGTGATTTCTCACAAAGAGTAAATATGCCTTTTGCAAATCAATTTTTGTAACAAGTTATTTATATGATATTACTTAATAAACTGTTTTTTTTCTAACTTGTTTTTTTTCAATTCTCTCAACCTATTGTTTTTAATCAGAGATTTCAAAACAATGTACATGCTGTTACACACTTTATATCTTTCTAAATCTGCTGTTTGAACCTCTCAAATAGCTAAGTAAAGCCAACTTGTTATACGATAATTAGCTTGTAAACAATAGTTTCTCCCAGCCAGCATTATACATCATTGGTACTGCCCTGCAGACTCCTTACTGCTGGGGCATCAAGAATTCTACTGTTATTTATGGAATTGCTGTATTAAGAAGAAAGCTGTTTATCCTCCTGGTAATTGCTTTAGATAAAGAAAGACAGTTCTATATTTTTGCCCATCCCAACTCTCCATCCTTTATTTCACTCCCATAGAAAAGCAATGTCTATGGATCTCTGATTTTAAAAAGAGCAAGAAAAAGCAAGAGCCAGACCAGAGGGAAATAAGGATAAAATCCTTCCACCATTCTGATACTATGAGTAAATAAAATGTTTTTAGCATATTCAGAGCTATAATATTTCATATGCTGGTTCTTTTTTAAGCTGCCTCCTATTTCTACAGATGCTGTTTCATAATTTTTTCAGCTGAGAGAATTCATAGCTTTGCAAAGGAGATTTTCATTTATTCATTCATTTGTTCAGTAGTAGGCAGTCCACTGTGTGCTATGAAATATTCGACAGTAAGCCAAATAAATATATTTTCCCTTCTCTCCAGAAGCTCATGGTCCAGGAGGAAGGGCTGCCATAAACTCAAAAGTATAGTATCCACCTGAAGGTGGCAGGAAGGTGTCTTCAGAGAGGTAGAGATACAAGTGTTCACTGAAAGGAGAAACTATTTCTGCCTGGCTGGAGGAGTGTGTGGGAGGTTTAGGAATTAGTAGTACTGAGATAAATGGAGATAAGAAACCAAAATGAATAGCAGGGGAAAGAAAGAAAAGAGGGATGTTTAAGCAATGCCATTGATCTCAGCTGAGACTCCCTGAAGGAGACCATGCTGGGAAAATTCACATGGTGCCAGCACACGGAGGATCATTAATACCATAGCAGCTGGTCTTGTGATTTTTTGTGATTTTTTTTTTGCCATGTGGTTTAACATTATTGGTGGGAAATAGAAACCCATGGAAAGGAATGATCGTATTAGAAACACACATTTTTGAAGGGCATGTACATTGCACAGTAGTATGCACGGTGTACTAGAGCTAAGCCTCTCCCCTGCGCCCCCAGATCTTCATGACCCCAAGGCAAGTGGGGTCTGTAGGATCTGGGAAACTACCTTGACCTAAAGGTAACATAGGCAGGAAGGGCAGTGTGCTGTCACAAGGACCCAGCTCAGGAAGCAGATTCCTGCAAACGTTTAGACAGTCTAAGCCATTTCCCATCACCAAAACAAACCACTTCCCATAATAGTTACTAGTATGTATTAGAGTAATTCACTCTAGCTGCTGTAACAGACAAAATCCAAAGTCTCCATAAAGTTTGTCTCACTCTTACGGTGTTCAGGGTGGTGGTGAGCCTTTCTCCCTCTTGTAGGTATGCCATTTGGAGCATCCTGCCTCCAACATTTAAAGTGGCCAGGGAGGAAAGTTTGCTGAATGGTCATATGAGATGTCTCTAGGGGGGCAGGGCCTAGACATGGCCTATATCGTTTCTACTCATATCTCATTGGCCAGAACTCAGTCATATGGCCCCAAACTAACTGGACAGAGGCTGGGAGATGTAGACAGGCAAAGACTTGTGTTCCTGGTGATAACACTCTGGTGAGTGTAACTTACATGTAAGATATACTTAATATGTATCTGCCACTTATAGGTTCAATGTCTGTCAATCTTGCAATATCATTCCCAATTCCCTCCAGTTTCAGTCATCATAATAAGCCACATCCCATAATAATCATGGGGTTGTTATCAAAAACGCTAATAGGAAATCATCCACAAATTGAAACTTCATTTTGAAAACCTCTTTATTTTTTTAAATGTTTGTTTGTTTGTTTGTTTGTTTATTTATTTATTTATTTTGAGAGAAACAGAGAGCAAGCGAGGGGCAGAGAGAGGACAGAGAGAGAATTCCAAGCAGGCTCCCTGCTGTCAGCACAAGAGCAGAACATGGGGCTCAATCTCATGAACCATGAGATCATGACCTGGGCCAAAATCAAGAATCAGATGCTTAACTGACTGAGCCACCCAGTTGCCCCTGGAAACCCCTCTAAAAGCTATTAGTCTGCCATCGCTGACTTCAGTGCCCATAGTAGATATTTCTAATTAATTGACTCATAGATCTCCCAGATGTAGCCTTAGAACCCCTAACAGGAATGCCCTAGTGGCCATCAACAATAGAATAATATGGACCTATTTGCTATCCCTAACCTAAGAGATTAAGTTCTCCAGTGGAAGACATATTTTTCTTTTTTCTTTCTTTTTTTTTTTTTAAATGTTTTTAATTTATTTTTGAGAGAGAGGGAGACAGAGAGAGAGAGAGAGAGGCAAAGAGAGAGAGAGAGAATGGGAGCAGGGAAGCAGCAGAGAGAGAGGGGGAGACACAGAATCTGAAGCAGGCTCAAGGTTCCAAGCTGTCAGCACAGAGCCCAACGCGGGGCTCAAACTCACAAACCATGGGATCGTGACCTGAGCCAAAGTCGGATGCTTAACTGACTGAGCCACCCAGGCACTCCAAGACTTATATTCTTTCATTTTAAGTTTTGTTGACTACCCACTACTGACATTTGGGAAGAGCATTCTGATCCTCAGATTGTGAAAATTTTGGGATAATTAAGGACGCTAAAAGGCTCAGCCTGCCATTATAATTAGCCTACATCTTTGTTTCATAAATCTGAACCAACAAGCATGTATCTCTTTGTTGATTAATTTCAGCTTGGGGATGGGGGGTGCATCTCCCCTCAGCAATACTCCTGAACCTCTGCATTCATTCTGCAAAAGTCACATGAGAACCTGTGATAGGCCTAGCACAAACCAAGGTGATAGGGATACAGGGGTAAAAAGACAAGAGACACTCCCTGCTCTACATATACCCTTCTCTCGAGGACTGCCATGATTGTAATCTCGCATTATTAATCTTGGTTTGCCTGACTAAACATTTTGTGTATTGAATGACATCCTGATTCTTTAGATCACTTTTCTAGGTCTCATATTCCTGAATTCAATACTTTTCTAAATATGCTATGAATAGATATGGCTCTTTAAAAGAAGTAGATTGTCTCCTACTTCTGTCTATGATATACTTATTCCTTTTTTTAAATGTCTTTCTTGACATATTAGATCATCTTTATTGCTTCCTGAGCCATTTAGTCTCAAAAACTAAACTTTTAATGGCAAATATGTCTTGTTTGCACATTGGTAAGAAAATGTCTCCTTATAGTCAGTAAAGGATAGGTTTTATTAAAGCTTTTAACTTTGCTTAGCTGCCTGATAATAGTGCCTTACTTTTATATAGCACTTTAGAAAAAACTATTATATACATGACTTAATATAACTCCCACAAAAACCCTGCACAATAGGCTATACTATTCCCATTACACAAACAAACAAAGTGGGGTCATTTGTCCTGAGGTCCCATCACAGGAATTAGAACTAAAATCACTTCTTTTAACCCAGGTGCTGCAAGACTACCACTGAACCCTACATCTTCTTCTTTGTATGCATAGTCCCATCTCATCCATGTGAGAGAAATATTTATTGGGAGGGAAAAAGGATTCTTTTCTCCTTTCTACAAATTCAGATGAGGTTGGACTCTGCTGAGGGCTGTAGCCTCAAAGACATTCCTATCTGTAAGATCAGTCTAAATGCTCTATGAAAAAAAAAAGACTGAAAAGCAAAAATCTGCCTATTGACCCCAGTTATCCAACTGATTTCAATGATAAAATTAGAACAGTGTTCCCAAAGAAAAGTATTCCCAAGAAACATAAACTTCCACCCAAGACAGCAAAAGCTTTAATTGTTTATGTGATAATAATCTTGACAATATCGATAGTTCAGACATCAAATTGTGGTAAGCCCTCTGTTGGGAAGCAATGCCCTATAACAGGAGAGGGAAAAGGCAAGGAATGAGGATGTCCTGTTGCTCCTTAAGCAATTCAGATTTCATAACTGAATCAGGAGCTGTGGAGGAAGGAGGGAGACTTGCTCTGTCCACGAGCACCCATTAACTCCTGGCACCCTACCCAGTAACATGGTGGCTGTGAAATCCCCAGAAAATCCAGCTGCCCAGTGAGGTGGTGTCTGTGTGGCAAAGCAGGAGCTACAAATCTTTGCTCATAAACTACAAGTAATGCATTTTCCACATTTTTCTATAACTGAGCTTAATTTCTGTTTTGGACCTTAATCCTGTGAGCAACAGAAAGTCAACATTAGTCATTTGGGGTTTCTTTCCAGAAGCCCTCCCTCATATTATAGTGAACTTCTAAGAGCCTAAGATGACATAAAGAGTTGGGGTAGCCAGAAGAGGAGGCAGTCAGAGCTTAAAGCTAACCTGCTCAGGGAGCTGGGAAGTGTGGATGGATTCCAGGAAAAACACAAAACAAAACAAAACAAAACAAAACAAAACAAAACAAAACAAAACAAAAAACAGCGTAATTCTCTTAGCCCTCCCTGTCTGTTCTCCCACTCTTCACAAAATGGGAAGGCTAAAGTTTATTGATCAGAAGTGTCTTTATGTTATTGTCATTATTTCTCATTCTCAGAAGGTCAGGATCAAAAGCTTAAGAAAGACACCTGATTCTCTCCTGACTTACGACTTCGGCAGAGATTCAGAAAGAGCTGAAAGTTACCTCAGAATGTCAATGTCTCAAATTTAATGCTAATTTATAATGGTGTTTTCTTTTCCTTTACTGTCTCAAACATTACAAAAACTATTCCTTTATAGTATTAAAATATATTAAATAGTATGGTAAGATTGAACCAGTCTTCAATGATTTCTGAACATCTATGTGATGAGAACGTTAGTATCTACTTTATAAGTAAAATATATTTTTTTCTTTATCATAAATCAAGAAGATCA